AAAAACTCTTCTAGAATATGGCCACACAGCCCGAAAAACCCACAAAAATTGTTATTTTGTTTGTCTACATCCTGATTGAGTTAGATTGCAGAAATGCCTAGTAGTCTTCTTTCTTTCTTCTTTCTCCTCCTTCCTCTTTCCTCTTTCCTCCTTCCTTCTTCTTGTGGAAAAAACTGGAGGACTGATTGGAGTCCTTTCAGTTCCTGTTATGTCTGGATGCCTGTTTTGTAATTATAGCCAGACATGGTAGTTCATCATGTATGTTTATGAGTCCTTCACATGTGTGTGAGAAAGAAAGATAGAATATACAGTACTCATTTAAGCATTGGTCCTGGATTCCACTGTTCCCTGGGATCATTCCTGTAATTTTTTTCTCCTTCTAGGAGCTGTGGGATGCCATGGTTCGAATCTCCATTCTGGAACTTGTAGTTTTGAATACCTGTCTAATAGGGAAGCAGAAAAGTCTCTCCATCTCTTAACTAACAAGTCCTAGGATGCCTTTTCTTCTCTCTAGGGATCAGAATGAGAACTCAGGGATCAGAATGATGCTTGCTTTTCTCTGGCACAGCTTCTGACTGGCGCCAATAAAGAGCACACATCTGGAGAACAAATACAGAGGAATAGGTTGCAATAAATATCTTCAAATGTGATGCACCATATATTTTGGCCTCGGTTTTTCTCCTTGTAATTATGAAGTTGTCGCGTGGATACACCCACCTTCCAACAATCTCCAGGCGTCAGTAAACCGTACCATCTGCTGTCATGCTTGGCATTTAGTAGTTGGGACTGTTGTCAATGTAGCATGACTAATTTATGCTCCCCTAATTTCAATCAGACCTAAGCACCACTGACATTTTCTAGCTTGGGGTTTTTGCAGGAAATTCATAATTGTGCAAATGTTATAGTCTTTCTGTCCATCTTTTTTGTAATGCTCTGAATTGTAGCAGTTTGGCAGTCTCCCAAAATCTACAGGCTGAATTATAATCATACTAAACCATCTCCTTTAGTTCCCAGGTATTTAATGTTCAAAAACTGGACATCATGAGAGAGAAGGGGGTGAAATAAAAAAAAATAATAGGATATATTTTGTTATTTATTTATGTATTAAATTTTTATCATATCTCTCCACAATAACATGTCTGTATACAGATGATGGAGAGTCAGCATGGCATAGTGGTTTGAATGCTGGTCTGTAACTCTGGAGACCGGGTTCGATTCCCCGCTCAGCCATGAAACCTACTAGGTAACCTTGGGCAAGTCACATGCTCTCAGCCTCAGGGGAAGTCATTGGCAAACTTCCTCTGAACAGATCTTGCCAAGAAAACCCCAAGATAAGGGTCACCTTAGGGTTGCCATAAGTCAGAAGCATCTTGAAGGCATGCAGCAACATATAAATAATACAGGTAAAATAATACCGTTATAATTAAGAGATTGAAAATCATGAAATAAAGAACAAAATAACATCAGAAGGAAGGAAATCACCTTTAATGCCCAAAGACATTAAAAATGTAATATAAATGTCATGCCCCTTTTCAATAATGGTGCCATATCATGAAACACCCTTTCCAGATAGGTTTTCCTGGAGTTATCCCTGTGGTCATTTCAAAACCAAGTTGATATTTTCATGTTAACCCAAGCCTTTAAATAATTTTGGGCCTTTGGGTTTTAATTCTGTGTTTACTTTTTGTGTGCTATCAGTCTTGTTCTGTTATCATATTTCATTTTGTCATATTTTATATGTGTGTGTGATCATTTTAAAACCAAGTTGATATTTTTATATTAACCCAAGCCTTTAAATAATTTTGGGCCTTTGGGTTTTAATTCTGTTTATTTTTTGTGTGCTATCAGTCTTGTTCTGTTATCATATTTCATTTTGTCATATTTTGTGTGTGTGTGTGTGTGTGTGTGTTTTTAAATCATGATTTTATGTTTCATTCTGCATTTTAATTGTTTAATGTGTGTCTGTTGTAAAGCCTTTGGGGTATTCCTTGCCTAAGATAACCCTATGAAATTCATGGTGTTGCTATAAGTTGACACGCAACTTGGAGGCAGTACACATACACACATTGTAAACTCAGGAAAATTTCGAGAATAAATGAATTTGCCTGCTGCAGAAAAATTAACAAAGATGGAGTTGGCTTGGCCTCATCTCTGTGTGGGGTACCAACATTTCTGGGTATGTATTTGTAATCTAGGTGAACATTTGTTAACTTGAAAGCCAACATAATATAATACTGTAGTTTGAGTGTTCTCGGCCATAGAAGCCCACTGGACAACCTTGGGCAAGTCACACTCTCTCAGCCTCAAGGAAGACAATGGCAAATCTCTCTTGAACAAAACCCCATGATAGGTTCGCTTTAGAAATAATTTGAAAACACACAACAATGCATTTGTTAACTGCAGTCAGCCCTATACTGTATACTTGAACATCCCAATACATTCATATCTTCCATCCATTAGTGCTGAGATGGGGAAAGATATCTTTGCAGTGTTGGAAAATAAGCTTCATGGATATCAAAAGAACGTTAAGAAGTCATCTTTAACGACCCTCAGGCATTAATGTCTTTTGGTTATTATTTTTCCTACTAAACACTGTCATAAATATATTCACAGTGAAACCACTTCAAATATGACTAATTGAAACACTGAAGCAATATTTATAAACAGCAAAAAAAAAAAGGATGAAATGTAAAGTATTATTTCACAGTCCAGCGCAGAACGAGTTTACATTGTGGTTGTGTTTATGGCTTTCCATATCTTGTGTAATTTCCCTCGTGATTGCATCCAAATATTAAAAATAGAAAAGATCGAGGGCAGCAATTATTTGCCCAGATTTAGAAGACTGTAGAGTTTGTGTATTTTTTTCTAAAAAAATAATAATAGAGAAATGTATTTATTTCACTGTTTCAAAAAGAGTGTCAGACTTTATGAGGACACAGTTTTTGCTTGTGGGATGACAGCAGAAATTATTAACACTCCTTCAAGCTAAATCCAGTCTTTTCAGTTCTCAGAACTGAACTTTCCATCACTGTTTTTCCATGCAGTAAAATGTGCTCCTTTCTTTCTTTCTTTTTTCTTAGTGCTCTATAGAAAGCTTGGGGGAGAAACTGCAAAGAGAATGGGACCGTAGCTCATTGTTAAAGGCAAATCAAAGGAGCGTGTTGCAATAAATCTTCAGCAAAAGGCTTTTGTGTACCATTTTTATTTGGATATGAACAATTATTATTATTATTATTATTATTATTATTATTATTATTTTGCTAGGTGAATATAGGAGGCTGTTCCTAAGAAAAGAAAAAGAGGCAAGCTTGCAACGTGTAGAAGCATGAAACGCTTGAATTATACTGATTCACTGAGTGGTTTTGCTTATTATATATTAACTGGAAGGCACCTAACTACAGTGAGGCAAATATGAAGAAATTACAACAGGGCATAATAATTTGCCCCTCCAAATAATAATAAAATAATTATTATTATTATTATTATTTATATCCTGCCCCTCTGCAGGGCAGCTTACAACATTACAATTTCCATACAGATATATTAAACAGAACATAAAATCCCCCAGGACGGTCATTTAGACATTACCCAAAAAAGAAGAAGACAGATAACTATATAATATTTACATATGCTAATTTATATGTATAGATGCAAATTTAGATGTAACTACAATAAGAATTCCTCCTCTGAAATTTTCATTCAGTCCCCACATGTCTGGCATTGAAAATTGTTGAATTTATATATTTATTTATTTGGAGTATTTATACCCCGCTCTTCAGCCAAAAGGTCATCAGAGCAGCTTACAAATGGTAGAAGTCTTGTATTTGCTGTGTTCACTTTCCCTTGATATCATTGCCTTCCCCTTTTTTTGGATGCCTAAACTGGATTTTTTAAAGAACATTTCCAGGGGTAGGTAGCTGTGTTGGCCATGTTGCAAAGTACAATAACATCCAAAATCCACAAAAGAGTGAAAAGAGGTATCACTGTTTTGTTGATTTTGGATGTTATTGTATTTCTAAAAGGTCAGCTGAAAGTTTTAAATTAGTTGTTGTGGTTGCTGTGTGTTTTCAAGTCATTTCCGAGGTTTTCTTAGCAAGTTATTTGCTTGCTAGGTTTGAGGCTGAGAGAGAGTGACTTGTTCAGGCCCTCCCAGTGGGTATAAAACTGTGCATTTCATGGAGGCACTTGAAAGGGAGGAATTCTTCATCCGGTCTCAAATTTTTGGAATATGGGACCATTCACTGAAATGTAATTCAGGACCTGCAGAAGGGAATACTTCTTCAAACAGTATCTAGGCTGCATCTGTAGTGTAGAATTAATCCAGTTTGAGACCGCTTTAACTACCATGCCTCTATGCTGTGGAATTCTGGGATTTATGGTTTTGTGAGATATTTAGTCTTCTCTTGTTGTATCTCTTTATTGTTACCTGTCTCGAACCCTTGGGGAGAGGCGGATTATAAATAAAAAATTGTGATTATATTATTATTATTTTCTGTCACAACTAACTACAAATTTCATAGCCACGGCAGTTAAAGCTGTGTGAAATTGCATTAATTCTGCAGTATGGTGCCAAAACAACTACAATTCCCAAGAACCCATAGCATTGAGCCATGGCAGTTAAAGCGGTGTCAGACTGCATTAATTAATTTTGCAATTCGGTAGCTGCTCTGTTTAAAAAGTGGAACTCATTACCGTAAGATGCAGCAATGATCACCAAATTGGACAGCCTAAATTAAGAGGAGAGTAGACAAATGGATGCAATAAGAGACTAGACAAATTGGTGGAGGGTGAGGTTACCAGTGGCTGCTAGTCATGAAGGTTTTCTGCATGGCTAGACTAGGACTATTTTCCCACAATTTTGCTAAGCGTCATGGGAGTGCTGCTTCTTTTTTCTTCTCGCGTCTCAGATGCTGTTACGTAACACCCTCAAAAGTCACTCGCCGATTTCGGCAGATCCACCTAGGAGGCAGAAACCCGTCAAAAGCCTTCCCACGTTATATCTTGAAAACGTTTTAAGCTTCGGCATCGTATGAAGCAGCGCCCCCGTGTCAATCTAAATTTATCATTGGGAAGCCACCCTTCATTCATTCCTCTCCAGTGCATTTGAAATAGGAGCTTTAAGAAGGGAAGAATCCAGATCATTATTTTTTTAAAATGCTTCTGAATTTTCAGGCAGACTGTAGATGCAAGATAAAAAATTAAACGCGGCTGAGTGTTTTGCTCATGGCGACAATGGTTTGGCAATGGAGAGTTGAATGTATGTTACTGTACGTGTGGGGCAGATTTTTGGGTGGAAAGGGAGAGAGAAAAAAGAAGGGGAGAAAGAAGACAAAAGACAGAAATATAAGGGGGAGCCAGAATAAGAGGTGGTAGAAAAAAAAATAGGTATCTTGCTGCCAGTTGTAGTCCTACCTACTCCAGCTCCTCCAGCATACGGTCTCTCCCCCCAAATATTTTCCCCAAAGAAATTAATCTCTTGACAGGAAGTGGGGGGAATGAGATTATCTTTTGTTCTAGGATATATTCTGACTATACTCTGTTAAAATTTTAAACTGCTTTTAAACAGAGGCTGGATGGCCATCTGTTGGGGGTGCTTTGATTGAGAGTTCCTGCATGGCAAGGGATTGGACTTGATGGCCCTTGAGGTCTCTTCCAACTCTCTGATTCTATGAATTGTTGTTGTTGCTGTTGTTGTTGTTATGTGGCTTCATGTCAATTCCAACTTCTGGCATCCCCAAAGCTATGCTATCACAGGATTTTCTTGGCAAAATTGGTTCAGAGAGGGTTTGCCATTGCCTTCCTCTGAGGCTGAGAGCTTACAACTTGCTTGAGGCCACCCAGTGGGTTTCCATGACTGAGCAAGAATTTGAACCCTGGTCTCCAGAGACATAGTCCAGTGCTCAAACCACTCTGGCTCTCGTGCTAAACATACTAAACTATATAAAATATACCAGACTATATAAAGGACATGAAGCCCCATTCCATGGATGCCAACCTCCCAAGTTTAAATCATGGGATAGGTTGTAATTGCATAAATAATATTCTTCCAAGAGGGAAGGGAGCTGAGCAAAGATTGGGAAAGAAATAGGCGGGAGAAAGGACAAATAGAAGAAGGAAAGAAGCGAGGAAGTGTGGAGTAATTTAAGTTTCCTAAGGCTTCAGCCTTTGCTAACGAAACAAAAATATTGAATATCAAAAATGTCAAAACCAAGCCTATTAGGGTCTAGCTT